CATAAACTTATTTACAAAAACAACAACAACATCTTTTATGTAAACACGGTGGGTTTTAAAGCTAATATAGCTTGTGGGACCGTGTAAAAAATGTTAATAAAATAATAAAAATTATTAAAATTGAATGTGGTCAATAAAAGGTGAAATATGTACAATAAAAGATATATTGTATTCATCTTGAAATTTTCCGAGGCAATGGTATTATTCTAGAATGTATAAACATTTCTAATAGTGCTGATATTAAAGGATAAAGTGGTTAAAAAATGGATTTTCTGTTCGAGATAAAAGTGTGTTTTTGTATCAAGAGAAATCCTAGCGGTTCCGGTATTTGTTGTTGTTGAATGACTGCACTGTCTTGAATTATGATGTTATCCACCCTTGCTACACGATTGTTTCTCGAGTTATCACCCAACAATCTGTCGGAATACAGACGGCGAATAAATGGTGGGTTAGCCTGAATTTCTGAAAAAAGAACAAACTCCTGAGAGATGGGTGTTGCAGTAACTTGGTGAAACGACGAACTGGCGAAACTACCGGCGAACCGCGTGGCACATCACGAAAAGTGTTTAAGTCTACGTTAAATAAAACAATTATTTTTACATTTATTAAAACTTCTGTAATCAAGTGTCTTAGTATAAATAAGGTCAAATAATAACTTGTTGCTGAGTGGCCATGACTACTTGATTCCCAGTTATAGACCGGAAAAGGCCGTGACATCACTACAGCCGCGCTCCTGGCATTTTGAGCATTTTAAATTGCTTGTTCTCCCAATGACCATATGTAGCATCGTTTTTTAACCTAATCGTAGCAAATTTGTTGACTTGAATTCTTTGACCAACTCAGTTAAGGAGTATCGGTCATGTTCGGAAATACTGACGGTTTAGGCCGTCTATAGCTGTTGATCCTTCAAGAAAAGATCTCAGTATTGATGGGATCTAAACTCCCAATTCATACAAATAGTTCAATCATTAGGATTTTCATTTGATCGATCGTATCACAGGAATTTTCCCTTCAAAGATTCCTATCGGCAAAGAACACTGCCCTTCTTTGAATAGACATTAAATTAGTAGAGTGCTCTCCATTCAGCAAGTGTATCACGAGTTAGTCACGTGGACTGCACAGGTTGATCACACCGATACAGAGTCTGCAAACTACAACCGGCCCTCGCGGTAATTCCGATACTAAAACGCGCCAAAAAGAACGACCGCGACCGAAATTGGCGCGAAAATTCCCAGCGCACCCTTCGTGTTCACACAAATGCACACCTGAAAACCACCAGAGCCAGCATAAGAAAAACTACAAAAACCCGCTGCGGGAACGGAATATCGCGCAGTCTAGCACGAGATTGGAAATTCGGTCTAACAAATGTGCGACTTCTTCCACCGAGCATTCCTCGTCGGCCATCAGAGAAACTTGTTCGCAGTCATTCGCTTCCAGTGCATCCTCGTCCAGACTCCTGTGGCTGCCGTATGTTGTGCGCATGACAGCACTCTTTTTCGGTTGAAGCTTAGGGTACCAGATAACCCATTTTACGAAAAAAAAGATTGACGTCATTTCTACTTTTAGCTCAACAGGAGAGTGTCGCGTGATGAGCACAAAGGCCAAATGTCTGCGCATGTGCATTCGTTGAAATGATTAGATGGTGTGCTTCCAGAAACAAGTTGTTTCACACGAATTACCAACAACTACTCAAGCCAGTAAGTCGTGGTTTTTAAAGCGTAGAAATTTTATGGTAAAGCTCCAAACAGAATGGAAAATTAGCAAGGTACCGTTACTTAAATAAGCTTTGGGTTCACAAAATTTTGAGTTTTCATTTTCGCTACTTTTTTTTCTTTTTGTTTTTACAAGGCTTGTAGCCATTTTTGTGTTTCACTTATTTTTAAATCTTTCATAATATAAACAAACATCAAGCCAAGGCATGATGTTATTTATGTCGATAAATTGACCTGTTGTATTCATGGCACATATTTGTCGATCCGATGGTGGTCTGTCATGTGACATAACAGCCAATCATGTTCAAGGGTGTTATCTATTCGCCAGTATAAAAGACTGGTCGCATTTTCAATTATTCCCTCTTGCTTTCACCATCACAGCGAGTATATCTCTTGGCGAAAACATTTTTCCCTCCCTCCGCTCCCTTATCGCCATCTTTCGGAGCGACATTTATGCTATGTAGTTTCGCTTAGCAGCCGTGGGCGCCTTTTTCGCCCCACCTTGCTGAAAATGATAATTTAATTACCATGGACATTGTTAACAATTAACTTTTATTTTGAGTTTCTATTAAAACCGCCCCAGTATAAGTGACCAAGAAATGCCAATTCACGAGTTGATTAATTGTTGTACATCATTTCATCCTCAGCAAACTAGTGCGACACCACAGAGGGCTCCCGAATTCATTTCCGTACAATGTATCGGCATAAAAGTATTTTCATTCTATATAATTACCTGTATTCCATTGATGAAAGCCATGGTACTTGAAAAATAGGTCATGACGACATATTGTGGTGGTAAAAGCAGAAGACAAGTTGACAAGAAATCAGTTGTATTACCAACTAGTGAAAGTACAACCGAGGGTGTGGACTGACCATCTGTGGTGCGAAGAGGCATATTCAAAATAACCAAGAATTAAGCAATAAATTTCATTTTAAACAGTGTGAAATTGTCATGTAGGTATGGACCCTTAACCAGTTTCAACCCACCCCCTCCTACATACACCCCTCCTTAAACCCACGTGCAACTCCTAGGTTTGAATGACATGCACAAGACATCTGTAGTGGTGGATCTAGGGGAGGAGCACAGGGCGCCTACCCCCCCTATTTTGAGTGAAAAAAAATAATAAATGCAGAGGGAAGAAAAGGTGGCAAGTGAACACACACAAACAAAAACAGCTCTCCTCCCCCTCCTCCTTTAGCTGAAGGTCTAGATCTGCCACTGATCTGTAATGGAGGTGTATCGTGTGAATGAGAGTGAAAATCCATGAAAAAACAATGTGTGTATCCACTGCTTTTCAGGGTTGATTTCTGCCATTTCGTGCATCACCTCTTCAATCCTCCCTGGGATTTCCCTGACAGCTGCTGGTAATTAAGACTAATATTCAGAGCTATAAAAATTGTGCTCTGATTGCTGCAACAGATTAGATAACATTTTACTGGTTACTGGATATTCTCTAAATATTGTTAGCCATTTCTGACTACCATCAAGTTACAAAAACATGCATTTTCAGAGAGAAACACAACTTTATGTGCAATTTGTTCCAGTGCCTTGGTTTAACAGGAATGGTTTGAATTTTATTACAAGTTGCAGCATGTCAAAGGAACCTAGCAAGAAAGAAACTAGGGTGCAAATAGGATAAATTTATAGCTCTGATTCAGGGTGGAACAGAATTAAAAGGGAGAAGTGAGCACAAAATAAAGTGTAATGAAGTCAATTGCCAATGCTCAAATGCACCCACAGTAGGGCTAAGCTACAGATGGACCTGGGTGCCACAGGAAACAAAGTTTTGTCTTGGATGGACAACTGGTATTACTATTTCTATGCTTTTAAGTGCTGAGCTCCAGAACCCTCAAATACCTACTTTCTCTTCTAAAAGGTCAACAAATTTAATGTGAAAATGAATATCTAATACATCAACATTCCCCATCATGCTACAGTAGCCTGTAACTCAACCCCTCAACTCTTAAGATCTAATTGTTAATTCTCCCCTCTAGCTGCTACACATTTCCTTTTAAATTAGTTACAAGAATTTGGTGTTGGATCAAGATAACCACTTCTACCAGATAAGCTTGAGTATTAATATTAGCTGTTTGCTAAATAATGTATGGATATTATAGGGAGAAGTTACACATTACTCACTTCTGGGAGTTTAAGGGCTAACAGGTTTTGATTTTGATTACATTGGTTGATGCCTTCACTTTGAATGTAAAATTTTTATCTGCCGGTTTAATTACAGAGGTTATAGAATTTCTATATGATTGCTCCAACAACAAACCCAATAGGAATGATCAATATTGACTCATAAATTGTTGAAAATATAACACAAGTATGGTTATAAATGGCTTAGTAAAATGCCTGTTACATTGCCCATGGATTTTCAGGAAGTTTTTATAGACATAAACAAAGTGGTGTTCTATAGTGTATTATATTATTGCTCAGTGCTTATAATTACTAAGTTTGAAAGGATTTCTTTCCAAAACTGTAACTAATTTTGTGTTTTAGTTAAGAGCTAGAAAGTAGCAATTAATAATGTCTCTTGCAATGAAGAAATTTAACTACACACTGCTTTTCATGAAATAAACTGCATACTAGTTCAATCTTACTTGCTGATTTTGTAAACAAAATCTCACTCAAATACAGAATCGAACATATCAAAATATAAATGATATGAGAAACAAAAGATGTCTCCTCCGCTTTCTTGGTCCACAATTTTCATTATAATTAAAGTAATTCCCAGTCATTAAATGTATAAAGTAATTTTAGGTTACCCAAAGCAATGTTTACTTCTTCTATTCAATGATTATGTAAGTATAAGAAATTAATGTAAATATAACGTACCATAAGTGTTCTTTGTACTGTCGAAATGGTAAAATTTAAAGGTTGTAATTATTTATTGGTAATTTAATAGTTCATTGTAAGTAGATAAATGTTAAGTAGATAATTACTTCATTGTAAATAAAGGAGCTGAGAGAAATATTAAATAAATATGCAAAAAAAAATGTCTCTTGATTTTTCTAATTCATCAGCTTTAATGTGAAAATGAATATCTTACACCAACATTCCCGATCGTGTTACAGTAGCCTGTAGCTCAGCCCTCTAACTCCCAAGATCTGATTGTTAATTCTCCCCTCTAGCTGCTACTCATTTCCTTGTGACTCAGTAACAAAAATTTGGTGTTGGTTTAAGGTATCAATTTCCACCTGATAAGTTTGAGTTGTTTCTTGAAAGGAATCTTACTCGTTGTAATAGTAGACTGTGACTCATAAGTCAGATAATCAATGCATTACACCTTTGTATTTCTGAGTTTTATTGAAAAGTGCACTGCCTAAAACTGATGTAAATAGGGAATACAAAACATTCAGTACAAAGAGCTTTTTAGTCTCCCTACTAAGTGCTTTAACTGCTTTGCCCAAAATTGATGTAAAAAAGGAATACAGAACATTAAGTATTAATAGCTTTTTAGCCTACCTACTTCGTACTTTAACTGCACTGCCTAAAATTGATGTAAAAAAGGAATACAGAACATCAAGTATTAATACCTTTTTAGCCTACCTACTTCGTACTTTAACTGCACTGCCTAAAATTGATGTAAAAAAGGAATACAGAACATCAAGTATTAATAGCTTTTTAGCCTACCTGCTTCGTACTTTAACTACACTGCCTAAAATTGATGTAAAAAAGGAATACAGAACATCAAGTATTAGTAGCTTTTTAGCCTCCCTACTAAGTATGTATGTATGTAACTTTATTTTAACTCGGGTTGATGAGGCTGATCAGGCCCCTAGCAACACATTCATGCTAATGTGCCGAGTAAAATATAAAAAATATATATAAAAAATAATAATAAAATAAAATAAAATAAAATAAAATAAAATAAACATACATGATCAATTAATAACCAACATTCTAACTATATCAATAAATAAACAAGTACTTTAACTGCATTGCCTAAAAGTGATATAAAAAAACCGAAGCCACTAAGTTATCGTAAGGCTTGCTTAAGTCTTTACGAAACTCCTGACCTGGAGGCAACATAGGAGTATAGTTCAGTCTTGCCCAAGGACACAGAAGAATCATGCGGATAACCCTGTTTAGTGAAGGGCTGAAACCCGAACCTCTTGATGTGGAATATATTTCACTAACCAATAAATCAATACAACCCAACAGCTTAAAGGATGGAGATACGTGCCCTAAAAACCATAATTTCCACCTTTGCCATCAAAAAGGGTAAATATGAAAATTAACTATTTCAGTAGGGCGTTTTGAGATTCCAAAGAATACCTAAACATTTGAAACAAAAAATTCAAATGAGTAAATAAAACGATTACGGAAGCCGCCATCTTGAACACTGCCTCAGAGTCTGGTCACCTACATGTACCTGAGACCAAACACCCCGCTGTCTTCCATCTCTAGGCATTATTCACTTTCTTTTTTGCGATTATTAGTGAGAAGCTTCTTGCGAACCACTCGTCATGGTTCTTTCTATGTGATGCATGTGCACCCAGATTGATTTTTTTTTTCAAAATGGCGGCGTCCTTTGTGGGATTTCTAGCCCATTTTAAGAGAAGAGAATGAGAAAAACAAGATCATTTTTTCGTGGCCTCTATGGCAAGACCCAGTGTAACTTATTGGTAGCTGTATGGTAGTTCACGATAACGTGACAAGATTGAAAAACATAAAAGAGACTTTGGGTGGCACTGGAGCAATTTCTAACATCTCTTGATTTTGCTTACAATAAAATATACAGGTATGCTAAATAGCTTTATCTTCATTGATCTTAGAGAAACCTCTACTTTATCATAGTAAAAGTAGCCATATCCAATTACTGAGCAAAGAATAAAGACTGCTATTTTAATACGCATGCTTAGCGTGTAACATGAAGTCCAGAATTAAGGCATTGTTTTGTGTTATTCTATTTTATCATATAAACTGCTACTTTTTACAAGGAGTTTTAGCCTTTAAGGAAGCTGTAACAGCACGCGTGTAAAATTAGAATAATTGTTTTACGTGTGTTTGATACCGCCCATCAACTGCTGACACATCAATAACCTTTCGCACCACTCTGTTAGGTTCATGAATGAATGGCAAAGCTTCACATTCTCAATCGAAGGTCGTTTGTGGAAATTTTCACGGATTATGGCATTTCGTGAGTTGTAATAATTCGACGCATTTTCTCGTCTTGAGCTTTTTTAATTCATTAATAAAGTAGATTTTTCCTCAATTGTCAGTGAAGGCCTATGGTGTTTATATAGTAAACTAAAAAATACAATTGCTTATAGATGTGGAATTTCTCTTTCTGTGCACAACTCGACAACAAGCAACCTGCTCGCCCATGTATCATTCCATTTACACCTATCATGGCTTACTGTTGCAAATTTGTTTAATTTCTTGTTTATTGCATGCTCTCTATTTCTTGTCAAGTTCAATACCATACTATGGCCGACCAGAAAAATAACAAGAATCTCTCTTAATATTCAAACTTGACACACATGTGGTATTAACTTTTGAGATACATCATCGTTATGAAATTTAAAATGTAAAACTCCGTCATTCAACCAACTTTTGTTTTCGAGAGTCCCACTCACTTCTTGATTTTGCAAACCCCACGTTAATTTTATCCAACCCGTGAAAGCAATCTCATTTTCATAGCCGAGCAGCGGGTTAATTTATCCTTTGACTGAGGAATTCTCCCGCAAAACTTTGATAATCTTTCCACCAAACAGGTGATAAGAATATTTTGAAACATTATCAGTTTAAGAGTGTTATAATGATTTCAAACCAAATTGCCGGTCTAATTTATAATAAAGGCTGCCTTGCTCTGCTGGCCCCCCTCCCCACCCATGGTTATTCTAAGTAGTACTCTAATTTCATTTACTTCTGTACCTTTTTCAGTTTTGTAATTCAAAATAGTGCAGATAACGATTTGTGTTTTTGTTATAGTGAAATGCACATAAGCTAAAAGGAGAAATTTAGGAATCTAGGGGGGTTACGGTGGGGGCACGAAACGTTCTGAGTAGTAGATTTGAACATTTTTTTCTAAAAACAACCTATCTATCTTTAAAAATACCGTAGCTATATCAGTCCTCCTAAAAAATTACTTGAAAAAGCTCTAGTTCTTATCAATCAAAACTTGCTTTGATAGTGCAGAGAAATCTGTAAAAGGTTCTTTCCTTGTCGTTTGGAATAAGCAGTTAAAGCATCGTTTCCATAACTGTTGCTGATTGACTCTGGCTCTGCTCCAAGGAATCTTTATACTGCTTTTCTAAATCTGGTAAAGGAAACAACATTAACCCTTTAACGAAAGCCTGCAACAACAAACAGAAGCCTATAGACTCAAATCCGAAAACAGCGCGACTAGCTTGCTATCTGTAATCAATTGAGACTTGTAAATATCATCGCATTCCACTTTTTTGACCGTGTGAATAATATATGAATAATAAATATATTGAATAATGTATCGTGAAAATGGTAACCAGCAGCCGCAGAAAGCGCAGTAGAGAAACAGTGGTAGAGAAGCTTCTGCAATAGCAAATCTTTTTTTCATTGAACGTTATGTTTAAAAGCTTTTAGATGGGATTGTTGGGTTGTGTGGATTGAAATGGGGATTTCGGGCATATTTGATGGATTGTAATGCACGGATTGTTATGAAAATCATAACCAACAAATATTTTCGTTCGTGCGCGATTAGTCTGAGCGCGTAAGTGGCCCAGAAGACAAAAGTATGTCTGCTGTTCTTAAATTTCCAACTCTGGATATTAAATTTCTGGTGCTCTGATTGTTTCACTCAACTACAGTTATCACCTCATATTCTGAATCACCTTATATGGAAATGCATCGCATCAACTGTTGAGGAGCTGAAAAAAGCTCCTCATATCCAAACGTTCAGGATTTAATGAAATTTATGAAATAATAATCCATTCGCCCTTGCTGGATAGCCAACTTGGCGCTACACTCTCGTTGAATAACTGTTGATTAGTATATACTTAAACAGTGGATAGCTTTGATGGCGTGCTCTGATTGGCTACTCAAAGTCAAAATCTTTACCTCCAAGCAACTCGCACGAGAATTGCGCCCGAAAATACTGTAATTGTTGCAAGAAGTAATAAGTCAAATCATCTTCTCGTGTTATATTTTTACATACTAAAAAACACTTTTCACCACAGTGTTGGTGAGTGGTGATGAATAGTATAGGGTGCTTATATGAGCGGTAACCAAACAGGAGCCGAGAAAGACAATAGGCTATTATTCTCCAAATCCAACATGGCCGCCACAAATTTCAGCCAATCAGAAACCAAATTAAGTCTTCAACATGGCGTCTACGAAAGTCGGCCATGTTGGAAAACAGCCCACCAGCCTCGATAGAGGACCTGGGATCGGTCTCACGGATTTCCATGGCGACACAAATCACCCCAGGGTCACGCAAAATGTAACGCAACTTAAAAATCGATACTTACAGTGTTCGGCCTCCAAAACGCACAAAAGTCCTACTTGCAAGCGGCCATGATAAACACTGAGGGATTTGGGTCTGAGGTCTGACTATAGGGAGGGTGGTGCAAAGCATCATGGGACGATAACCTCATCGGCATCCAATCAGAATGAATTAAAGTACTTACAGTTTTGGCTTCCCCAGTCCCCCTCTCTTGAGGAGAGTAACAAACCCTGCAAAGCCAATGTCTGCGTGATGGGGCACTTCCCAGGGATTGGTTACCCCAGCTCGGGTTGAAAAAAATCCTTGACCACGCAGAAACCACAGTGGACGGCTCAGCCTCACTTTTATGTTGGCAGAGTAAGAGCCTGGAACCGAGCCTCACTTTCATGTTGGCTGTGTATCTTAACCCTTGAGAATAACATCAAAGGAATTTCAAACAAACTTTTCGAGCTTGAAATAAAGATCTAACTAAATTTACAAACTTTGCAAAGCGCATCACTCTAATACATCGACAGCGCGAATAATAAGCAGTTTTCGATCGGAATAAAATCAATTACATTAATCATAGTCCTTAGATCTTGGTGAAAAGAAAATTATGTGTTCCTTTTTTATTTCCTTATCCAACATGGGAAGAAAAGTTTAAAGAGAAAAATACAATCGAATACTTCAAGTGGAAATGAATAGTTAATGGCAGTTTGCATAAAATCTAAACTCACTGACCTCGACTGTTCCCTTGAGAAAAGCATTATTCAAAGGAATCTTACACAAACAAACGACATTTAGAGCGACCGTTGAAGAATTAACACAATTAGTCAGAGATGAAAGATGGAATAAATTAAAACCGAAAAAGCACATTTTTAGAAGCTAAAATCATGTTTAGACTGTATCTTAACCCTTGAGAATAACATCAAAGATTCCAGAGTCAGACCATCTCAAGTCATGGTTTCCGAAAGGTGGATTACTTGTGTTAGACGATTTGATGGCAGAGGGAGGTGAGGACAAAGAGTTGCTGGACTTATTCACCAAATACTCATCATCTAAATATCACCGTGTTGTACTTGTGCCAAGACATGTTTCCACCAGGGAAATACGCTAAGAGTATTTCCAGGAATGCCCACTACATATTGTAGCCTTCAAAAATCAAAGAGATCAATTAGGGATGAAGAATTTACTGCTTGTAATTGTTCAACAGATATTTTTGGCCCAGTGGAAGATGACAATGATGAAAATGTAGAAGGGGAAAAGGAGGTGGAAGAAGAGCCTGAAGAGGAACAGGAAAAGGAGGAGGATAGTGGCAGCTCCGAGTCAGCTCCAGAGTCAGACCATCTCAAGTCATGGTTTCCGAAAGGTGGATTACTTGTGTTAGACGATTTGATGGCAGAGGGAGGTGAGGATAGTGGCAGCTCCGAAGAGGAAGAAGAAGCGGATGACAATGAACCAGATCCGTGGAGTCCATTATGTCAAAAAGTCGGGGAAGATCTCAAAGAAACCTACCTGAAAGAAGTCCAGCAGTTCCTGGATAAGGGAAAATCCCAAAACTATGCCGAAAATGCTGCTTTGAGTGCCCTATTACCTGTAAGTAAAAGAAGGCTATGAAGGTCTTACTTAGAGCATCTAAAATGGGCTCACTGTATCAAACACCACACAATACACCATAAAGTCATGAAGACTCTTCGATGCTTTATTGAGGAAGATGACATGGATTTTGACGAAGCGGCCCAATCAGCAGTAGCACAGGAGAAATTCCTGTTAAACAGACTAATGCAAAAGAAGTTACTTCCCGAGGAAAATGGTGAAGAGGAAGTACAACAAGAGGTTGAAACCTGAATTAGCCATGTGACTCTTATAAGAGAGTAGGAGTCTAGGGTTTTACTCATTATTTGTAAGACGCCACACAAGATGAACTGCTCCAGTCAACTGTCAGGAAATAAACAGAGGGTTGTCTGTAAAAAGCCCTACCACCAAAAATATTACGCTAAGAACAGAGAGCGAATCCTGGCCCAACAAAAGAGATATATTGTAGAGAACGTTAAGATTCTCAAAACCTGTCGTAAAAGATGGTATGAAATTAACAAGGAACGACTGGCCAGCAGCCAGAGAGCCTTTAGTCCACAGAACAAGGAGCACATCAGAAATTACCGAAGACAATACTGTAACAACAACAAGGAACGGATCAACGAATATTGGAGAAGTTATTATGCCAAGAATAAGCAACGGATCAGGCAAAGACTTTGTGACCAAAAGCAAAGAAAACTAGGCCAGAATATTGTGCATTTTGGGGCCTGGGACCAAGAGTCTGAGAAACTGGAAACAAGTCTAGTTCCCAACACTTTGTGGAATACTGAAGGTCAAGACTTAAAGAGTTTAAATTGCAATTCTCCTACAGAGTTCTTGTTATTATTATTCAATAAACATTATAAAGACTCAGACTCTTTGTTTTGTTTATAACAATTTAATGACATTACAGTGGGGTATACCCCCTACCTCCTATCTCCTCATTGGTTCTTAACCACGTGATATCACGTACCCCAACATCCCCCGTCTTCTCATTGGTTCTTAACCACGTGCTGCGTGGAATACTTCCTATCCGCCGTCTTCTCATTGGATACAAGTTGTTGTATATAAGTCATGCAGACTAGAGCAAAATCATTTTACTCGTGACAAAGTTGGACACACATCTTCTTATTCTTGTCTTGGCGATTATGGTTCTAAGTGATCAAGAGCTGTGTGTGGCTTTGAAGGAATTTGAAAGGACTATGGTTGGTGTAAGTGATTTATTCTTGTCGCTATTGGAAAACCGTTTAGACGACTATAATTGTTGAATTAGGAGCGCCTGTGTCGTGTGACAAGTTTTTTCTGCAAACACTAAGGGCCAAATATTTAAACGAAGTTTAGGTTAGACCTGGTTTTTGACTAAATCGAGGTTTAGACAAGGCCTCTAAAGACCACGGCTAGACGTGGTCTAAATCGCATTATTTAAATGTAGTCGAGCCGCAGTCCACGTAGACCACGTCTAAGCGTGGTTTAACTGAAATTCCTATTGTTTTCCAAAAACTGTGCGTTCAGAATTTTGAAGAGGCCAGATGAAAAAATGGCGTCAAAATCTCGAAATGCAAGTTTAAGCCCAGAGGAGAAACTTCTACTTGCCGAACTCGGGAAGCAATATCCCAACATAGAAAACAAAGGATATGACAATGTAAGCTTAAAAAGGAAACAAGCATTGTGGGTGCAATCGATTGCTCTAACGACACAAGGGAGTCCTGCTATGTCGTAAAAGTTTCTCTTCGTCTCATGGAAATCGGCTGGAAATCTAATGAACTGCCATTTATGTTTCGAAATAACTCTTGAAACTCAGTGTATTACCTTGCAGACGGCACAACTAGACACTCCAAACAAATCTCATATTACTTGATGAAAGCTGGCTGTAGCATAAAAACGCAAGGTCAGAAGAACTTGCTGCATTGGTGTGAGAGGCAAGCCTCTCCTCGTTTGATGTTCTAGATCGTTTTTCAAAATGGCAGTGAGTGTGATAGCAGGATCTTTCCTAAGGAGAAACTGTAGATGAAAATTGGCGTCGTCATACTTTTCTAAAGGATTAAGCATATACCGCAAGTGTCGGATTCTTCGAACAGGTTGAGCATTAGCCCATTGCTGTAGGCGTCTATATCTCAAACTTCCATCCATGACAGAAACCTTGACTAATAAATCATTAGACTCCGTCTAAACCTACTCATGACCAGGTCTAAGTTGCTATTGTTGGCAAGTCTGTGTTTAGACTCCGTTTAGGTGAGGTTTAAGATAAGCGACGTTTAAATAACCCGGTTTCCCGGTTGAGACCTGGTTTAGACCAAGACCTTCTTAAACAACGCCTAAACTTTGTTTAAATATTCGGCCCTAAATTTCTGACTGAACGGAGATTTGAACTAACAACTGGGGGAATCTAACTCTGGAGAGTACTACTCTGCCTGCGGGAATGAAAATTCGTCACGATTTCCTGGTACACGAGGATCTACTTCAATGGTCTTCTCTACGGATGTCAAGGAAGAGACATAGCTTGGTCCAACAGTCGTTTATTCTGCACTCGTCAATAAAGATGTTCGTAATTGGCGATACGACCGACGATGTAATCAACGGAATGGAAAAAGCTTTACAAACGCACTTGCTTATATACCATCCTTTACACGCCAACGGTGTTTAGAATATGACTATGCAACTTCTCACATACAATACGAGCGGAAAGACTTTAATTAAGATAGTAAAAATAGAGCTTAAGATTACAATTCACAGGTTGAAATTAAGATAGAACAAACTTAGGAAATTAAACATAGGCACGCAAGGCGTGCAAGAGTTATTTTTTTGTGTGAAGTGTCGGAGATAGGACCATTCGTGGAGCTGTTTACAGTAACGATTTGGTTAATTTGACAAGTTTTTTTGGTTGCAATGTACAGCAAGAAACAAACTGGGAACTTATGATGTACATGCGATGTTACATCGGTCATGGTAAGATAGCTAAATAGTAAGCCATAAAATGTTTGACTGAACAAACTACAGTAATCTGACACGTCTCCAGATTAATGTAGATACCATCTTATTTTCCAACAGGCAATTTTATTCGTTTTTTGATACAACCCACTCTGTGATAGGTCTGACATGCGCACATGCATAACTCCCTCACTCACCGATCACGTAGCCCTTCCCCCGGGGGGGGGNATTAATTTTCCTTGTTCCAAGTCTTGGTTGAAAATTTGAGAAAATGACGTCATTTTCTCAAAAAATACCGCACGGGTTGAAATTATGATAACAATTAATGTAAAAAATTGCACGAATACATGAGCCACAGTTTTTGTTACTCTTTATGCGAATTGCTATGCGAATTGCTGTGCTGTGCATATTTCTTTGAAATAAGAGGATATTTTGCCAAAAAACTATCCAGTAGTTTTTGTCATGCGCTAGCCTATCTACCATAAGAATATGAGCGAAATCGAATTTTCGACCCTTGCCGCGAAATTAAGAATTTGTCTGATTATTACAGGCAGGTACTCTTAATTCGGCTTCTGATTGGTCAAAAATTCAAAGCAGTCATCTTGGATTTGGAGAACAATAGAACCCATTGTTCTCCAAACAATAGCCTGTTGTCTTTTTCAGCTCCTGATTGGTTACCTCTCATATGAGCGCCCTATACTATTGTGGTGAATCTTTACTGAGTCGCGAAGCCGCTTGGCGTTGATACACCACTAGCTAACGACACTTAGGTGAATAGTTGTTAATTATAGTGCATCAAATATTTTTGCTCGCACTCGATTGGTCTGAATGCACAAGTTGGCCCGGTATGTCCCAAGTAAAACAAAAGGATATCCACTGTTATAATCCATCAAATATTTTTATTGAGGGGGATTAGTCTAAACGCATCCCGTGACCGAATATGCCCCAGTTAAAACGGGGGAATGTCCGTGAAAATACCCCCAAGTGAGATTCCCCAATTATCAAACCTTACGTCCACTACGATGAGTCTCCGCTTAATATATAATTCTAGATGAGAGAGCGTTCTGTGGTTGGTACAGAAGAAGGGACATGTTTGTCTAAAAGGTCGTACAGAGAACACTGAAAAGTGAACATTCTTTGTAGCAAATGGGAAGCTGTCCAGAGACATTTAGTTCCGCACGTTGCCATAATAAACAGAGTAGCCTCCATTTGGCGCGAAAATATGCTCGTTGAATTCTTCTTGTACAATATCTGTTTGTCGAAGCTCACAATTGCTATTCACTGCTCGGAAAAGATAATCTCTACGTTTGAATATCCAAGCACATTTTCGAACCACGTGAGGGCTATTGTCTATGCATTCCCCACTGAGTAATATTATTATTGCGATGCATCAAAAAACTCACTCGTTTGCTTCGCTTACTCATTCCTTTTTTTTTTGATGCGTAGCAACTCGTGAATAAAAATCGTTCATGTGCACTTTCCATGGAATAACCTCTATATCCCGAAGAGGAAAACATACTTCATGATCATAAAAATTATGGTAACATGAACAGCACTGCCGAAGAAATGCGTTATTTTAAATAGGTTGACCGCAACAAAATCTGTTTGTAACTCAGAAAGTTAAAACGTAGGATACAATTACATTAATCGATGTAACGTTCATTCTTTTAACTACCTGAATTCTCCAAAAACAGTTTGTTCGTTGTAAAACGTTGAGCGAATTTTTCAGTTTGACTACAATACACTTTTGCTAAGTCTTTGAAAATTTTTTGAATTTGGAAATTTCTTCCCTTAATTGCCCAACAGAAACCGAAGGAGTTCAATGAATAAATAGCCGCATTAAATCCCCCTGTGTCTGGGTTTGAAACGTTTTTTGTGGAAGAAAGACAAGATATACACACGCAATTGCAAAACAAACAGCCACTTAAAACTTCAAAACATACATTTGAATTCACTCACAAAGACTTTCCTTGCCATTCAAAATTGAACAGAGGTAAATCTTCGACGATAAATCGTAAGACTATATCTCACTTTCCATAAGATCAGTGACTGCTTTCGGATGCGAAAATCGTTGGGGTGGTCATTTAACTCGTGTTTGTGCTGTTGATCATTCAAAAGTGTACAGGCGTTTTTTCTCGCTATTTAATTGACAGGTGTAAGATTCTGACAGATACTTAAAGAAAATGTTTCAAAGTTTGTTTGGAAACTTTTAAGATCACCTTCATCATAAGGCAAATAAAAATGTTTCGGTGAAGGCTCTCTCTAGAATAGGCATTAGCTCTGTTTTCTCTATTATGTGTACTCGCTTAAAAAAATGTCAGTTTATGGAGGATCTTGCTTTAATTACAGCTCTAAATCACTTGGGTTCTTTTGGCAAGCATTTCACTTAGTTTAAGAAAAAAAAATTTAAATGTCATTCACCAGCTCAAGTTCCAATACCGAGATACGGCAGAGTTTCGGACTAAACCCGATAAATCGAAATGATGTCGTCGATTGCTCGAACATTTCCCCAACTTAACTTAGTAACTTACTCACTCACTTACTTAACAGCAAAGTGCATACTGTTGCGAGCAATAGTGGCACAAAAAAGGAACAATTATTCCGTGCGTGCGCATTGGATATGAGATGGTAAATAGCCAACGAGTTGGTTATAACCAAGGTCGTACCCAACTAATGTGAATGGAAGAATTGTTTTATCAAATTTCATTAAATCCTGAACGTTTGGATTTTTGGAGGTTCTTTCAGCTCCACAACAGTGGGTGTAACGCATTAGTAAAGTAAAATAAAGTAAAATCCTTTATTTCAAACACGATTATCGTTTAAGCACTACATGCTTGAGGGGTCGTGTATCTAATTACCTACTGATAAAATGAATGAAGATAACTTACTTTATCGCAAATCTGCATTTCCATATAAGGTGACTCAAACATGACCTGATAACCGGAGATGAGTAAGCCTATCAGAACACCAGAGATTCAATATTCAGAATTAAAAATTTAAGAATGCTCACCAACCTGAAAAGCATTTCCTCACCACATCTCTTCTGTCAATCGAATACACGGCCTCAATAAACTTCTTAACAGTTAGCTCAGGCTGGTCACCACGTAAATAATCGACTAGTGCCTCCATAGGGCTTATTACTTCATCTTCATGAGAAGAAAAGGTGTCTAGATCTTCCTTTAAGATTCCAAATTTGGGTCCCAAACGCCTCCACGCGCCCCTCTGGTTTAAAAGGGTACATAATTTATGTACTGCTTCGTCATTCAGGTCCCACAAATCGATCAACAGAGTGCTTGTAGTGACTATATTAATGAGAAGATAAAAGGAGTTCAAGCAAAGTTATTAGTCTCTAAAGAAATGGTATATTGTACTGCGTCTGTGGGCAAGTAAAGCACTTTCACATGCACAGTGAAAATTAAAAACAAAACAATGATATTCCAGGAAGGTCTGAAGACTCAATTTCGTTCATATCTTAACATTAAATCAATTATTCTGTGAACCAAGTGTACCCCACAAAATCCCAAAATCAGTCCAGTGCATATTTAGAGATGGTAAAGGACTGTTGGAGTGTTTTGAGAGCAGTGGAATGTAGCATCTTTCCATACAAAGACTCGTGTAACTATTAGGCACCTGTAAAGACTGGATTTTCATTGTTTGCATTTTTCTTAGAATATAGGTAATTGGCCTTAAAAATCACAAAGTGGTTTTAGTTATGCGTTAGCTTATCACAGGGCTCGACACTAACTTTTCAACTTACTAGCCTAGTGGCTAGTGCTAACTTAGATGTTACTAGCCAAAACCTTTTTTACTAGCCAAGCGTTGTGGTTGGCACCTTATTACATGAAATTTTCGCAACACGTTTATTTCGCGATTTGGGGGTGCGCATATTTCGCGACACTTTAATTCGGCGATTTTGGACAAATTTTGTATTTTGAATCACTTTAACTCTGCGTTTTTGAGTAACACAAAATTTATCTCCCTGGCAATGTTACTTAAACATGTCTTTGAATTTAGTAAACCGACTTTATCAAAGGTACAATAACGTCCAAAGTAACAAAAACGCAATGGCAGTACTATATGTTAACAGTAACATAATGTGTTATGTTTCCGACACTTACTTATTCGGCGCGTCACTTTAATTTCGCGATCTTTTTTTTTAAGTCTCGAAATTAACAAAATTAATGTGTCGCGAAAATTTTAGGTAGGTCCAATAACAGCAGAATTACTAGCAAGACACAGCGCAAGCACAACGCAAGCGACTCTCTTTAGTACATAATGTTGGTAATCATAGGCTATACTTAGACTAGTTTCAAAAAGGTTCCAGTTCCCGAAAAGACTTCTAGGACTGTTTTTCTATGAGACTTCCTTGGAAAAACATCGAGACCCCCAAGACGTCACTGTAAAAACTGTTGAGTCAGACTTCTTCACAGACAGGCACCGTAGAAATGTTTCAAAACCAAAACAACTATCTGAACAATACTGTAAACTGTCGTTGGCAAAATTTGACTGCTAAAAACGGCTGATTTAAATGTCGAAGGAAATAAATCTTTCTCATCTAATTATTCTGTAGTGGTAAGTTTGTAAGTATGCATACAACGACAAATCACCCATGTATTGTTACGCTAAATGACATGTTATCCCTTCACAGTTCAGCACTATTTTGCGCAAGAAAAATATTTGGTAACAAAAAAGAGCATTGATGCGTGCTTTCAGAAAATGCTGTCTTGTTTGTCAAATATTTCTTTCAACAAAAGTAACATGTTCAGTTTCCCGTTTAGATACCATGCAGCGAAAAGTAGATAAACTTAAATTTGCATACGTGCTGAACAGCACATGCCGGGTACCATGATATGTCCACAATAAAATTCTGACCTTGTTTCCGAGAAAAGTGTAAATTTTGTGTTTGTCTTCCTAAAAGACGACAGAAACTAGTTCAGCCAATGTCATTTTGTTGACTAGCCAAAGTGGCTCATGGGAATCGAAAACCTACTAGCCAAAACTAAATTTCTGCTAGTCTGTAGCTAGTTGGCTACCGTTAGTGTTGAGCCCTGTATTATCAATCATTCTAATATGAAAGGAACTGAATCTCATGCTCCTGCCGCGAACGTGAGATTTCGTTTGATTTTCATGGACAGTTACAAAAATTTAAATGACTGATAGGGCGATATTCTGCTGTATTTTGGCACTCCCTGACTTTTAAGAACCTAGATCCTAAAACCACTAAAACCACTATCTACTTTATCTAAACATTTAAAAATATTCACGATAGAAAAAGGTATTCTCATACCTTTCGAAACTGCCTTGGAAAAATTCTAAACAGTTCTAGTACATATGTAGGGAGAAATTAAAGTTAAGATGAGGTCACAATGAATTCTCATTTTACTTTCCTATGAATATCATAACAATTAACCTTTCTACCTAGCGATGGTTTTCACTTATATGCAACATCATCGATACCTAAATACTCACGATTATCATTAAAATAATCTGTTTTCACTACATAACTACAATCCATGTAATATCAATGAACATTTTGTCGAAATTTTTTTTTCATTATTTTTCCTTTACAAAATCTTGACCTGGAGGGTATCGCCATGTGAAACGCTAGTAAAATGTTAGTTTACAGATAATTGTCAATGGAACTAACCTTTGCAGTTATTTAGTACGTTCGATTCCGCCTTCAATTGGCATTCCTCCAATTTCTTTATAAGATCTCCAACAGTCTCGAGAGGATATTTAGCGTTAACATATTCAAACAATCCCTTAGCTGGATTATCTTTGTAAGATCTTGTGCAGTCTTGGGCTTCATTTCTTTCCACGTGAAAAAAGTCAGCAAGGTCCTTCCAGTTGTTCTTTCCAGGCCCCTCTACATCTAACAATGATTGCATCGCCCCAATGATGTGTGGATGACTGTCAAACACGCTTTCCACTGTAGTGTCATCAGTCAGTGGTTTGTCTGTAAAATTTACGTAAGTATAGTATGGAACCATGAGAAATTTGCTCCCCTGATCTAACAGGTGGTTTGTAGTCGAGTTGCATGAGTTACGACCTGCATTAAAGAGCTGAAACACTCTGTTTCCTCTAAGATTGCTTAATATGCTGGAAATGGGAAAGAAGAGGAAATGAATTAAGGTGGAAAACTTCAAGTTACAACAACTGAAATGTACTTGTGGATTTATACTGACTCAGTTCTTGATAGAAATGAATATGGGATTTTTTGTCTTAAGCCCAAAGATTTAAGTGGAATATGAAGTGCTTCAGTCAGTGAGATAAACATGCTTATAAAAAAACAGGTTTGAGAGTCCTAAAAGGAGTTCAACCTACGACCTTCTGATCAATACTTCTGATGCGCTACTATAATGAGCCATAGAAGACACACGATTTTTTTCAGCTAAGTGTCTGTGACATACTTCCTTCAAACCACCTACTACTAGCAATTGATGCTTTGCCATATAACAAAAAGGTAGATGTCGTAGAATAGGGCTAAGTGAGACGTATTGTTCACCCAGAAGGAAAGCCAGCGATCATCTTAAAATTACCTAGTTTAACTGACATGCCCCATGACACCTGTATAGATAAATAAAGGGGGTAAATTTCTAAAGAAACTGTGGCGCTGCATTGGTGGGGATGGGGGTACACGTATAATGACAAGATAATTTGGGTTTAACAACTGAAAGAGTTGATACTGTAAATTGGCCATCGTAAAGAGTGTTTGAAGCTGTTGCTTCCGGCGTTCTCATTCTTTAAAACCTCTTTCCAGTGCCCAATTTACATTACCAACTCAGTAATAAAACCAAATTACCCCTACAAATACACTAAATGATAAATTTCACCTTTCAAAATTTAGAATTAATTACTATAATTCACTCACCTAACTTTTGATACTTTTGATGGTCAAGAACATCATGAATGACATCTTTTCTTCTAATGAACTTCAGGCCATCCTTCAGTTTTCCAATTGTAAATTCCTCTGGATATCGTGTCTTTAAAAGGTGCAATAAATTCTCTGTAGGACTGGTTTCCGAACTGCATTTGAAAGTGTCGTAAATCTTCTTTGGTACTCCAAGTTGATCTGCCAAATGCTTCCAACATTTTACTTTACCGTTAAGGGCCTTGTCCAGGAGTACTTTAAGTCTATCAAGAACATCTGAGTTGTTTTCCAGATAGTCGTAAATCAAATCACCTATAATCAATATGATTTAAAATACAATTTTTTAAAAGCTGGTCCGAGTGCCAATAACCAAAAAAGTGAAGCCTTGGAGCCGACTGGCTCATAGCTGCCGAAGCTTATCCCAGTTTCTGTAGCATGAAGCGGCTAGGGGTATTTCTACTCCCCCTGGACGGGATGCTAGTCCATCGCAGGTCACTCCCCCGCAATTAGTTAGGTTTCCCCAACAATTCGCCGGTACCCATTTATACTCCTGGGTGGAGAGAGGCACTGTGAGAGTTAAGTGTCTCACCCAAGAACACAACACAATATCCCTAGCCAGGGCTCGAACCCGGACCGCTCAATCCGGGGACGAGCGCACTAACCATGAGGCCACCGCACCTCCACGCCAATAACTAAAATCAACCAATAAAATTTCTCTATTGCTGGTCCTGCAATATTTTACCACTATCGGACCGGGTAACATTCCGAACAACTCCGACAAGGATTTTGCACTGTCAAATCAAGATGCATGGGGGTCCCTGTGGATGCTGTAGACCTAGATTTCAATATCTCTCATTGGGTTTGTTTTGGAGTTAAGTAAAACTTTGCTATCTTTGCAATTGCATGCAAAGGAGTCAGTGGGTTGATTTAAGGACGGTGTCTACTAAATACAAAGGTTTTTGCACCAGGTTAGGACCAAGCGGAAAAAGTAGATCTTTGCAAGGGTTATTTGAATCCACAAAGGAAAATAGGGGCAGCCACGCATTTTTTTGAGATAATTAGCCTTGAATCTCAACAAAAATGCTGAAAAAAAGAGGGAAAGGATATTTCTTCACAGATTTCCTTAGAATTCGCCTTTACATGTACATACAGAAAAGCAAACACATTTAAAAGGATCTTTAAACTGCCTTCCTCTGGTTCAGCTAAAATACAGTCTAAATAGGCCTTTTGCTCAAAACCAGAAACTAATCACGTGTTGAATAGGCTTGCAACTTCCATTTCGTAACATAAAATGTAGGGGTAGCCACGCGTATTTAAAAGTTATTGATCTTTTTTGAAAATTTTTACGGTGCCCATTACATTTTTTCCTGTCACCTCCCCAGTAAGTAAGTCAAAATTCTCAAAAATTATTTCCGTTTTATCCAAGATGTCTGCAAGAAACTTAGGAAACTAAACTTCTAAATCTAGTTCTCCTTCGCCCGCCATGTNCATGCTTATTCGTATTGTGTATTTATAGGCTAGTTTTCTTTTCCTTATCTATAAAAGGGAGGGTGTTATAATATGCATTAACACGTGCCTCTAGGGACCTGTTCCCGCGGTGCTTTAGTTTATTTAGTATTCTGTTATAGCTTGAAGTTCAGTTGTAATCGTGTCAAGTTCGAGTAAAGTGTATTTCGTTTTACTCCATTTGTGTCCTTCGTAATATTACAGTATCTACTCGCACCCATGTATTATTCTCTATTTATCCTCTCATGGAGAGCTCGTGATATTACACTTTCATGGAAAGCATGGCCCCCTGTGACTGCAATAAATTCGAAGTAAATGTGCTAGCGAGGCATTTTGGTTAAAACAGCGTCCCTTCGATTGCCTTGCAATCGCAGTCAAGAACGCAACAATGTATGCTTTAATTTTTGGCTTAAACTTCCATTAAACAGTGCTTGAACAAATCAGCCAGCTCCTCTTCCATATTTTACCCATAAAAAAAAACACAAACCTAGTTTTCCCTCTTTGGTCTTTGGACTTACGCAAGGATCACTATTGGAATGAGACAATTTTCCATTGTCTTTCTTAGGTAGAACAATCGAGGGAAGACTGAAACGCCTTTCTTTGCTCTGCAGCTGATTAATGGGTTCTGAAAAGAAAAAAAAATATGAGTAACAGTAACATGCATTCATGTGTATGTTTAGGAAGTAAGGGCTGTGAAAGACGCACCTAATGCAAGACCCATTTGATGTCCTAAAGTTCTGTTTTCTTGAGAGAAAAGTGACTGCTTAACAAAGAGTCTTTTACCCCATTCACACCAGCAAAACATGGTTTGTTTAACTGGGTCTAAGTAAATCTAAATCAGAAAAAGAGAACTTAAAAACTGAATTTTCCATATGTTTCAAGTAATTTGAAGTTGATGAACATCCGTTTACGCAGCTACTACCGAGAAAAAACTGTAAACAGTGTTTCACAAAACAGCTTTAAAACATGTTTAAACTTTGGTGCAAATGGGGTATTGGCTTTTTTTCTGGCCTGATGCTATACTACTGGAGGGTGACTCATCCCCCCTCCACCCTGCCAACATTTGTTCAGGTTTCCTTGACACTGTACCAGTGTCAATTTGTACTTCTTGGTGGAGAGACTATTAAGTATTCTACAAGCACAGGACAGTAACATGAAATTACCTGCATGGGTTTGGTACTACGCCTCCCTTCCAGGATGGTAGAACTACAGAGCTAAAACAGAGATACTCACCAGTTTGAATATTAGTTCTTCTTTCCCTCTTCTCATCTTGCTCGGAAGGCTGTTTGTTTCTGCAGCTCTGTTTTGCAGTAGTGTTTCGGCTTTCTGTAAAGATTTAAAAAGCTCTTTTAGTTTGTAGGACCCTCTAAAGTTAGTCATCATCTACATATTATGAGTCTCATAATAATAGATATGTGCTGCGTCTTATAATAATAGATATGTGCTGAGTCTCACAATAATGGATATGTGCTGAGTCTCATAATAATAGGTATGTACTGAGTCTCATAATAATAGATATGTACTGAGTCTCACAATAATAGATATGTGCTGAGTCTCATAATAATAGAATGTGCTGAGACTCATAATAATAGAATGTGCTGAGTCTCATAATAACAGATATGTACTGAGTCTCATAATAATAGAATGTGCCGAGTCTCATAATAATAGATATGTACTGAGTCTCATAATAACAGATATGTGCTGAGTCTCATAATAACAGATATGTGCTGAGTCTCATAATAATAGATATGTGCTGAGTCTCATAATAATAGATATGTGCTGAGTCTCACAATAATAGATATGTACTGAGTCTCATAATAATAGATAAGTACTGAGTCTCATAATAATAGATATGTGCTGAGTCTCATAATAATAGATATGTACTGAGTCTCATAATGATAGATATGTGCTGAGTCTCATAATAATAGATATGTACTGAGTCTCATAATAATAGATAAGTACTGAGTCTCATAATAATAGATATGTACTGAGTCTCATAAGAACAGATATGCACTGAGTCTCATTATAATAGATAGTGCTGAGTCTCATAATAATAGATATGTACTGAGTCTCGTAATAATAGATATGTACTGAGTCTCATAATAACAGATATGTGCTGAGTCTCATTATAATAGATATGTGTTGAGTCTCATAATAATAGATATGTACTGAGTCTCAAAATAATAGATATGTACAAGTCATTCATTAAAAGTGCTACTTCCAATACATCACTTGTTGGCAACATTAAACTCTAATTATTGAAAAAGCTTGAATAAAGGAAACTTAACAAAGTTTGCCACAATTATTACCCAATAAAAATGGAAGTGCACTGTCACTCTGTTTTAATTCCTATAAGACGTGCCAATCAAATGATGTATACATAAAAAGTACTAGTTAATAAATTAATTGTAAGCAGCCTTATCAATAGAAATGTGTTCATAGTAATTAATGTACTGTAAGCCATGTTATGTCCCACAATTTATAATATTTTCAAGGCAACGAAATCTGTGAGATAAGCAAATCTAGAGTCCCCTAATGAATATCTAGTCCATGACTAAATGATATCATACCCCTGCAAGTTAAATGTTTTTTCAGAAACCCAAAATGGCTCACGTTCATCAGGGTTGGTGTTGAATTTAAATTATCCTGTTAATAATTAATACAGGATCATGTTTTAACCATCCTTGCCTAATCAAGAGTCACTTTTTAATTAATTTGTTTGTTTACAAACAGTTTGTATTTTATTACAAGAGCATTAAGTTTGGGAGCTAAAAAGCCAAATGCATTACATTTTCTTATCATGTTTGTATCAATTGTGATTTTAAAGGCTGGCACGAGTCAATCAGCTATGTTCTGTTACTTTGACATTTTAGCAACCAATTTTTTACTTTCAGGGTAAATTTGAGCCAATGAAAAGTAAATTTAGTTAAGTTAACCAAGGTCAAGTTAGCTGATGGTAAATGACTAGAAAAAAGGGGTCAAATCCAAGGGAAATCAGATTTTCTTCGAGTTAGTGAAAGGTTGGAGTTAACCAGGTTTGAGTTAGCTGAGTTCAACTGTAAACCAATTACCTTACTGGTCAGTAACTAACCACCACCTGAGATTAAGACTCCTTAATGATTAAGACAATCAATTCTATAGACCCCTTACTATAAGTCCAATAAAGTCCATTATAATTTTGGAAAGAAGAAGTATGTATATATAAAGCGGCCAAACATACATGTGTTAATTTGTATCATGGAAGAACTAATCACAGCTCTAACAATATGACCTCCTCAACTAACACCAAATAAGGAAACTAGCAATGGATTCCATCTTAATTCCTAGTCTACTTGGCTTATCTGGGTCTCAAGCACTTACTGGCACATCTGAATTTGGTTCCTGCCTTTTTTCTTAGTATTTACAGGTTTGTAAAATTAACTTGGCTTAATTAATAAGCCTTAATTGGATATTTTTAAGGCATTCCTCTAGATACTTCATCTAGATCTCTGAGACTACTTTTATAACCCTAAATGCGAAGTTTCCAATTTATCAAATGAAGAACCCTTAAAATTCCTGGCAAAGAGTAAGTTAGAAAAATGGCAAAATAAAATACTAATTCTTTCCTTTAGGAAAGGGGAAGGAAAGGAGAAAGGGAAAGAAGAGTTGTGCTGCCAAAAATCAAAGTAAAATAACACATATTCCACTTATCCTAGAAATTGAGATAATGTAATAAATGTAATAAAGCTTTGAAAGATTCCCTATTTTAAAGATCCCCCATTTTACAGATTCCTCATTTTACAGATTCCTCATTTTACAGATTCCTCATTTTACAGATTCCTCATTTTACAGATTCCTCATTTTACAGATTCCTCATTTTACAGATTCCCCATTTTACAGATTCCTCATTTTACAGATTCCCCATTTTACAGATTCCCTATTTTAAGTTCCACATTTTAAAGATTCTCCATTTTAAAGATTCCGCATTCCTCCATTCCCCCGTTCCCAGTTCCCTGTTTTAAAGATAGCCCCAATTTCACCATTTGCATGTGCCCAGCTCCTTTAATGCGCCACAATTGTACTTTTTATTCCAAACATATAGACACAATTGAATACTTCACTACCTCAATTGCAAGGGCACAAAATATAATTTCTAGTGAAAAAAATCATCTTCTTGAATAGTAGCAACATTTCATAGGGTCGGTAAGAAAAATATACTGCGGTGGAATTTAACTGGTCACCATCCTGTTTTTTACAAGGGGCAATAATTTTTGTACTACATCATGGTGAATTCACTTTTTCTTGTGATTCTTCTTTGAAGATGAAGTAAGAAATTATCTTTGACATTGTTTAACAAGGTCAAATACATCTCACGCATAGAATACACAAGGAAAATCTGGGTAGTAATCAAAGGCCTGTTGGTTAACCTCTTAAAAGCAGCTGGGCAAAGTTGCCTTCACAGCCAGTCAACTTGCCCAGTGCCCGGTCTCAACTTATTGCTATAGTTATCATTATCAATAACGATTTCTTAAAGCATAAACAAGCGAATATTAACGTTAAAAGCCGACATTTCGGCGTCATCGTGACACCATTCTCAAGGCAAAGTGAACAAATAATGCGATATCGATGATTGATTTCTATAGTCTCTACAAATTAACATAATAACAAAGGATCACAAATTCTTCAAGTGAATACCTTTGCGCGACTCGAATCTGTTTGCACGTTTAGGGATGGTTTAAGTTTTCTTATAAAAAGCATCTCCTTAATTGGGCAATCAAATTTGTTAGTACATTTGGCAAGCACGTGAAATTGTTCTGAAAGACAAGGTGGTATGTTTGAGTTATGTTCGCTGAAGTAATGTTTACAAATTGACGACGATTTTTGTTTGTGTCCAACGCGTNACCAAGACCTTAAAGTTCGACAAGTCAAGCCAGCCACTGTTAACCAACAATGTGTAGTTTATAAATTTCAGTGTAACCTGTGTGATGCAGGATATGTTGGTTACACTCGCAGCCACCTCCATGAACGCGTTGGACACAAACAAAAATCGTCGTCAATTTGTAAACATTACTTCAGCGAACATAACTCAAACATACCACCTTGTCTTTCAGAACAATTTCACGTGCTTGCCAAATGTACTAACAAATTTGATTGCCCAATTAAGGAGATGCTTTTTATAAGAAAACTTAAACCATCCCTAAACGTGCAAACAGATTCGAGTCGCGCAAAGGTATTCACTTGAAGAATTTGTGATTCTTTTGTTATTATGTTAATTTGTAGAGACTATAGAAATCAAATCATCAATATTGCATTATTTGTTCACTTTGCCTTGGGAATGGTGTCATGATGACACCGAAACGTCGGCTTTTAACATTAGTATTTGCTTGTTTATAAGTTATCATTATCATTACTTAATGTTATCTTTATTTTAAGTATCATGTAACCCTTTAACCACCAAGTTAAGAATGACTAGCAGCTAATTTCTCCTTACAATATCACTCAGTTGAATCAAACATTAAGGTCATGAGAATAAAAGAAATGATTGCCAAGTAAGGGGGCTCTTGACTGTTTAACAAATTCTCTTTGTCAGTACCATAGGAAGTGTGTAGCTAACAACATGGAGAATATTACTAACCACTGAAGCTAGGGTGTAAATGTTAAGAAATAGAAGTCCTAATGGAGACCAGAGGAAAGACAGGAGGAGTCACAAAAAAAAGAACAGAAATTTACCCTTGAAGTTAACAAAAAAAAAAACAAAACAAAACAAACAATTAGATGGAAAGATGATCAATTCTACAAATCACTGCCAAGAAAACCTTTAGCTACATTACAAAATAGACTAGTAAAACTATAAGAATTAAGGAATGTCAGCTTACTTCTCCCTGAGGGACAAACTTTGTCAGCAGGAACTAGAGGAACAAAATGATTAGGCCCTGTTGTTTCCCAACTCCCAGTTGATGTCCACATGATTACCAGTGGGTGCATCATTGAATAACCCTCTCGAGGATGAATGACAGCATTAAAATGACTCACAAGGCTCTCTCTGCGACTTTCTGGAAAAACACTTCTTACTGGACGGTGAAAGACGGTTGCCAGCGCATGGAGATGCCAATACGAAGCCCAGGTGGAATCTTTGCAAGTTTCACATACCTCTGCTTTGAATACCTCTTCCAGACCTGTTTTGTCAAATTCCCCTGATAACTTGCTTATTCCCTTGACACCTGATTTACCTCGTATATATTCTTCTTGAAACCGAATTCTTTCTTTGATATTAGGGTCAGCTAAATAATGTGATTTGTTACACCCAAGCTCCAGCAATGTTCTCACGCGCATTTCTTGATGCTTACTTTCATCTCCATGGGCCAAAATTGATGCTGCTCGGAATAAACAATTTCCATCACCCGTGGTGCAAAGAGCAACATATTCACCATCCAATTTGCCAGTTGGTATTAGTTTCTGAGAATTTTCATCAATATCTAATGGAAAATTCTCCTTCTCATTAATAGCCAAAGGAAGAAGTTTTAATGCATTTGCCTTATTATGTAGGTCGTCAAATCCAGTTTGAGATGCTTTTTGGAGATCCTTTAGGTAACCTTTATAATCTAAGAAGAATAATGTGAAAAATTTTGATAATTTTGTAACAAATTGGGGTGGAATGGGGGGGGGGAGAGGGAGGGAGGGAGACTAACTTTGCGTTAGATTAGCGAGTTCTTACTCAGAGCCATAATCTCCTGATTGAGCTAAATCTAACTCAGGAAACTTAAAAAAAATTGATAATTTATATAGTGCTGTTGTGGCTGCTGGTAAAACTCATTTGCTGATCAATTTTACCACTGTATACCTAGTGTATATGGTGTAATGAAAGCATAACATGGTGGTCAATGTGGGAAAATTTAGTCTTAATTTTCTTATTAAAATAATTTTTTAGATACCTCAGTATAGATACCCTGTCTAATCAATACTGTTTTTTTGTGACACCATGGGAAAATATACATATATAAAAAGCAAAACAACAACAGCAATATCCATCCACAATATATAAATAAACACTGATGCACAGATGAACATGCACTGCTGTCAGGGCTTGTCATGCCACACTATGTATCGCTATAGCATATTTAAACTTTATAAGCCACCCCCTCGCACTACAATGCTGCGAAGCCACCCTATCACTAGGTTTTCTGAATAAAAGTGCCAAAATACTGACTGTAACACAAGAGCTGTACATGTATGTATCTTACTAGTAACACAGCTTATGAAAACAAAGAAACAAAAAAAAGTTACCATGCATGTACAATGAACATGAACAGGGCTGTCATTAAGTTTTGATTCGCCTGTAGCCTTGTTATCCACACCCGTAGCAAACTTGTTACTTTGTGGATGAATACACCGATTCCAGAAAAAACCGGAAATTGCATGCAAGCAAGGCTTAATAGCCCTCGAGCTTTCAAAATGGTGGACGAAATGTAGGGGAAGAACGAAAAAAATTGAATGTATGTAGGTTAGAGCTACTTGTCTGGAGCAAATGTGGTAAAGAAAAGGAAAAGAGTTGGACACAAGTGTTGTGTGGCTGCAAACTCTAATAATCAAAGCAAAAACCTACCTGATTTATCATTTCCATGACTGAGTTTCCTTCGGACAAGCCAGATAAACAAAGAAGAAAAAAGTGGGAAATACTTATGAAAAGGGGAGGTGCCTCTTTTACTTCAGTAGGAAATAATTTTTGTTGTTCTGAGCACTTCTTGCTAAGTTGTTTTAAACTGGGAAACTGGGAGTCGTACCCTCGGTTTTCCCCTGGACAAAAGTTGATGACGAATCTCTGTTTAGAGTGAAAGATGTGAGACATCTGAGTCTTGCAAAGAAAAAGTGAATACCCATCAGCTTCAATCAACTTAGGAATTAATCAGTTTTGATGCCTCTGAGGTAAACAAAAAAAGTTTCTCAAAAACAATGTTGAATGTGGAAGGACATTAGTGATTTAAATACAACCATTGATGAATTGTAAATGTTTTTTACTCTCTTAATATTTCAGCAAGATCTGGCTTTTAGGTTTAATATTTCAGAACTAGTAGTGTCCGATAAATTATTGCATGAGCCAATTTCCTGTATTTGATGTTTGGGAGCCTGTCCATTAATTATTTACCTGAAGTTTTTTAGGCTGAATTTGAAAACATAAGGTGCACAATAGACTGAAGAGAGATAATAGGTCAGACACCCAAGACCTGGAGAAGCAGGGTGAACTTTACTGAATAAAAGTCTGCCAACACATTTTAAGGCCTTGGAGGAATTTTCCTTAATGTCATGGATTTAATAGACAGCATTTACTGGCAGGAAGAAGGTTATAATCTTCATCCCTCATACATGTATGAGACCAAGTAAATCAGAACTGACAATAATTTTACCAATTTTCTAAGAAAGACTGTTTTCCAGCCATGAACCAGAACTGCAAATGTAAGAATACAAGCTGAAAAGGCTATTAGGAGAATAAATGGATGGCATAAATTTGATGGAGTAATTCCACTAAGGTTGTGTAGAGTTGTTAATCAACCCTGGGTAGTGAGCTATTTGCTTGTAAACCGGCAGAAAAAAAAGTTATCTAATTATTCTTAACACATAAATTATGTTCAATTTGTCATTTGGTAGTGAATAGGGACTTTAAGCAACGACAATGGGGACGGCGACGGGAACGCCATGAGATCAGGGAAAAGCCAAAAGGTCCACTGCGCATGACTGGTGGGAAACATGTTGACGTTCTGCGTTCGGGCCCGCCACGAGTGGAGCTGATTTCGCGTTGTCTGAAAACGTGAGTATTTGAGCTTATTCACTTTCGTTTCCTCTGCTGTGTGAACACTAAATAAACCCGTGATACTAATTTCGAAGAACTTTAATTGCTTTTTTCCTCTTGTTATGTGAGATATTTCATTTTTATGTTTTTTTATTATTTTAAAGACCCAAGATCCTGAAGCAAGTCGGCAAACATGTGAGTACCATGAAATATGTTTTTGAAAGCTTGTGTAAATAAAGACACCTTACACGCATTTCAATTGAAATTTTTTTCCATTGAGAAGCACTCAAATGGCAATATTGGTTTATTATGATGAAAATCTGAACATATTTAAAAGGGTAGACTCCATAAAAACTTGTGTAGCCGTTTTCAGATTTAGTCATAAGATCAGTGATTTACTTTAATAGGTCTTTATCAGTCGGCACACTGTTTTGTCGTAAACAATATTCTGCAGATTTTCATTTACTTTATTGTATAACTCAGATTTGCAGATATTAAAAAGGATTTGGATCTTTGGTTGTAACTGGATAATCCAGAGCCACTTTTGCCAGCGAATGTGTTCTGGTTAGTTTAGTCAGTTTGGTTCTATTTATACAAAAGGGAATTTCAAACAGCTAGCTGAGACAGAGCATTTCCTTATATTATTTAATTAAGCTGGTCTAAGCCACTTTAAGCTCGGAAACTGTAGGGTTTTGTGGCTTTTTTGATTCAGGAATTAAACGAACTCGTTGGGCTTACATCTTTTAACTCTGAAGGGTGCCCCTGTATTCTTAAGGGTGTTTTGAAGTTGCGTCATTTAAGTAACCCTTGGAAGGTGACCCTTTGTCTTTTACACTGTGAATTAACTGAAATCTATCTTATGCTATTTTTAAGGGCTACTCCAATGTACTGGACGAAAGATCTCGATCTTCTCTTAATAAGAGAAGTGTTAGCTGTTGATCCCTATAGCCAGCTGAAGGGAAGTAGAGAGAGAGCTAAATTGTGGGAAGAAATTACCATGAGCCTAAATTCAGTTTCAGCTCCTCAATTTTCAGTTACTGTGAGGTCCGTAACGGACCGAGTAAACCTGGTCCTAATAAAGAAACACAAGAAAAAGGTTTCCAAAGAAAACAAGGCCAGTGGCATAATTCCCCTGATGAGCCCTCAGAGTTTGAGTTAGGCATGGATGAAATATGTGGGAAGGCTGAGGCTGCTGAGAGGGATCAGCAAGTTATCTCTGAGGAAAGAAAAGCCAACTTTGAGAAAGAGAAAAAGCAGGTGGAAGATATGCAAGCTAAGGCTTTGGAGAAAGTAGGAGAGACGAAAAAAAGAGTGGCAGTTAGTGATAACAGTAGTGGAGAGCCTGAGAAAAAAGAAAAAAGAGCCAGAAGATCTGGAACAGAGGCCATAGCTTATCTTAGGAGAAATCTGCAAAGGAATTCCAAATCAGGCAAGAAGAATTACAAATAAGAAAAGAGAAGCAGTGTGCCCAAGCAAAGCATCAAGAGCAAATGACACAGCAACTGATCCAACAACAAGAGCATCAGCAAGATACGTTTGCTAACCTACAGCAGCAGTAAAATCAGCAGCTACAACAGTTAAGCCAGATGCAAATGGCTATGCTGCAACAACAACAGCAGCAAAGCCAGGCTCTCATAGCAGTACTGCAGGAGTTTGCCAAGAAGAAGTAGACTGAAGCTCTAGAATAATGCACCAGTCATTTGAACCCCTTCCCCATCCCCCCGCCCCCCCTCGAAAGCCCTGTCTTGCAGGGAAAAAATTCAGGGTGAACTCAACCACCCTCTAAACATCAAGCACAATTCATTAAATAGATTATACTTTTTAACAACTGGAGCTCTCACAGGATTTTTTTCATACCACTGAAGCCAAGGTTCAAAATTACTTATTTATTTCTCCACGAGTGAAATCCCCACTAAACTCCCTCTCAGTGGTACATTCCCTGAATACCGGGGAACCTAAATCGAGTGAAAATGAGGTGAAAACCCCCGCTTTGCCCTGGTTATTCCCCAATGGAGGGGGGAGGTTCAAATGACTGGTACATACAAACTTTACTGTTGGGTTCATACTGATATGTTAAATATTTAGTTTTGTATAGAAAAAAAGCCAAAGTTTGTTCTTCTTCCTTTGGCGCAGTTATTACAAATGTTGATGTTAATAGTAACTGTTGGAAATGACTTTGGCATGTGCCTGCTGTAAGTCTCTGGATTTAGCCATGTTCTCTAGGGTACTTCATTTTAAAGATAGAAAATAGTCTCTTAATTTGAAGGAAAATGCACACTACTTCACAATACTTGTATTTTGTTTAAGTCAGATTTATTGCATAAACTGAGATGACTAACTAATCGGTTTCTTTGCATGACCATGACTACCTGAAAGGGGTACTAACATTGGTGCTGACCATGGGTGCTGGATAAAGGGCCACAAACACCTCTACTAGGGGGAGGGGTACATGGATATAACACTGATGGTTAAGAGCAAAGGGTTTCTTGGGTTCAAAATGTTCTTGCGCATTTTCTCTGTATTTTTCTTACACATAGTACAATGTTCTTATCAGTTGACTAAGCAAAGTACTCCTCTAATGTGGGAGGATCCAATTCAAAAAAATCAGCAGTTGTATTGCCATATAAGCATGTTAATGCATTTCTTAGTAGAGTACAAACAATATACATATTTCCTACTCTATAGACAAGCCAATCATGATGTTTCTTTTGAAATCAACAAACGTGAAGTACTCAACTATATCTCCAAATAACCATTCCACAGGGACTCAAACAGAGCTCATGGCCTTATTGAAATTTACCATTTGTGGGGTGAGTACCATGTTTCTAAAAGGGGCCTGAAGGTGTACCCTCATTGGATAAGCTGGGTCTCCATAAACACACAGGGGATGATGCACAGGCCCGGGTATAAAAGCATACGTTGCATGTCCTGAAGAAGATTCGAGTCTGCTAGCATGCCAGCGTCATGTCGCCTACCCTCTAGATAAAAAAAGAACACAGAAAACAAATATTAGGATTGGGAATTTTACCAAACGGTCATTTAGTATGTAATTTCCCTTACCTACTGGTCCATGCATGTTTCCAATAAGGCCGTTTGGAAGTGCCACGGACTGAAATTTTATCCCATGAACCCTTTTGTGGCCATTATATACGATTCTTTGATTTTCACCAGGCTTACTTATTGGTCTCACTGTTCCATCATTGAAACCAAAACAGTTATCCAAGGGAGATCCCTTGGCTGTTATGGCATGGCTATATCTTTCCAGTACATAGGGGTCGAGTATGCTATCATTCCACTCCAAAATTCGGTGGCTGTGTGACTGGCAGATGTAGTCTATCATGTAGTTGAGGTTAGGGTTAGGGTTAGGGTTAGGGTTCTTTGATAGTACTCCATCATTTCGGGAATCTCCAATACGTCAGCGAGAAAAATCAGGGTATGAATCGTAAGGCAGGTCGAGATTATTAGACTGGTTTAAATCATACAAGAGTAGAAGTTTGTCATCGTTGAGCACACCGTCAATGTGGCATATCAAGAGTTGATCTCGAACTTCTTTCAATGATAAACAGAGGACGAACATTAATAAGGTCAATAAACTTGACAGTGCAGAAACCACGCGTTGCGACAGCGCTGCTTAATGTTTAAGAATTCCTGCCACAATGGCGTTCTCTCCCCAGTCTTCTCACAGGTTTCAGGGTCCCCATCGCTGTCCGCGTTCCTGCTGCTTAAAGTCCCTAATGTAAACAGAGTATGTGATATTGTTCATCAGTGGTAATTAAATATTTGGTGATTTCTACCGTACTGAAATTGTGCATTTTGTGGCTTCATGTTCTATTTCTGGCACAGGGTGTAACATAGAAAACCACATGGTAGAGCTGGTGTATAATTGACTAATAACATAAAAGTACAATTGAATTTGACCTCATTGAGAATTTCCTACATTGCATGATCTTTTAGATTCCCAATTGTTTTGAACTATTTTGAAATATTTATTCAAATATTCATTACAAGAGAAAAACTAGAAGTAGCTGAATTCTCTCATATTAATTAGATCCTGGACAAACTTATTGGAACTTCGATATACATTATTTATTCTGACTTTAGCAATAATCACATCTTGTAAGGCCATCTCTAAGCATTAGGTAAGACAATTCATATATAATATATTTATCATAAATTGTTCAATATTCTTTAGCATCTGACCTTCCACCATTCTATTCATTAAAAATTTTCAGTTCCAATTTATAGCCAGGACATTCCAAAGTCTGTTCACAACAAAAAGTATTTGTTGTACATTGTACATCATAAACTGAAGTACATATGACTCTTACCTTGTTTACTTTTAAACCAGTATCAAACATTTTGCACATTGATTTTATAAAAAAAAAAGCAATCTTTCAGGGTCTCACCATCCATATGCATAACAATGACATTCCTAGCTTAAATGATTTCCTGGAGATTGCTCTTACTTGGGTCTGTAACCAGCTCAGCTGGGGGCCCCCAAAATTTCCCTTTTCTCTTGAACAAAAAACAGCATTTTGTTACTTGCACCTTCGTCCATCCCTGTTGATGCATTATTTCAGTGTACTTGTCCATTACTAGCTAGTTGCTAATATATATTCTAGGTCATCTTTCATGGCATATGACTGCAGATACATGTAGTCTTTGTTACACTGTAGTACACTTCATTGGTATTTTTATTGGTGATTTGACTGATGAATCAGCTTTGTGATTGCGTCCTACCCTGCAACGCATTGATGCTGTCACTGTATACCGAACCCTTGCTTACACCATTCTTGGCGAGTAAATCGTGGTCTTGTTTGAAACTCTGATTAGCATCGTTTGAACTGAAGGATTTCTCTTTATTCTCTAACACCGATTGTTAATTTATGAAGAGAGACTGGATGTTCTCTAACTTGAGAAGACTGAAGTCGTCAGTGAAAAGTGTTTTGTTGCAATACTCCTGATATCCGGCACAATTTTTAAATTTACTTCAGTATGTTCTTTCAAGCTCTTGCTTCACAATCAGTTTTACTACTTTAAGCTAGCTTTAGAAAAGCTATTCTTCGGGTCAGGGTCATGAATTTTTAAAATTTTCATTTCATTCAAATTCTTTTTCCTAAACCAACCATGAACAAAGTTCTTTTAGGCAATAAAAATGGTGAGAACAGGTTCTTTTTGTGCATATTAGAGATTGAGACAATCGAAGGATGGAAACATACCTGTCCTAAAGTCCCTTTATTTTCCCCCTTTGATTTATATGGCGACTTTTAAGCCAGAATTTCAATTGGCTGAGTGTCAATTTTTCAATCTGTTCTTCGCTCACACTGAAGCCGTGAATATCATCGCAAGAGAGATTGGCCTTTCTTCTTCGTTCGCCATGTTGCTTTGAATATTTATCGCGAGGGCTATTAAGCCTCGTTTCGGTGCAACTTCTGTTTTTTTTTTCTGGAATCGGTGTATTCTATCAACAACTGCAGGCAATTTCACCCATAGCATCAAGGGAAAATCAAGCATGCATATACTCAGCTGTAACTGGTGTTACAGGTTATGGCCCTTAATGACAGCCCTGCATGAACACCAGTAGCACTTTCTAAAACTTTCCTACCTGGAGGATTTGTTTCTTTGTTGTCACCATCTGGTGGAATGCTTCTTTCTGCTAAAAATTAATATCCTATGATTAGCTATCCAAGTTAAATCCTTCTTGCTTAATTGACATGCCAGTAGCGAAATGTTATTCATTATTGGCTAGGACTCTTTTGGGAAGGTTTTTAAAAACCTTGTCTACAACTATAAATTATTAATCCTGGCAAGAGTATTGCTTACATTTTGAAGTTAACGTAAGAAGTAAGTTGAAGTTCCATGCAGTTTAATCAACATGCATGGAATGGTTGGTTCCATGGCTGGCGAACCACTTTATACAAAGCAGATAAATTATTTTGTAATCTAAATATTCATCAAGCAATCCAATACAATATAAATGTCATTTTCCATATTCATTTATAAATACTTGTTAAAAGCAATACAGTTGAACCCCGGTAACTCGAATTGCCAAAGGGAATAGAATTTACTTTGAGTTATCGGGGTTTCAAGTTATAGGGGTTTTGAACAAAAGACTAGAAACACTTGATTAAAGAGATTTTTATGCTTAAATTACACGTTTTATTGTACGATTTCTAGCAATGTAAGAGCATAAAAATGACGAAACAAAACAAAAGCATGAAATATAAAGTAGCTGCTCTTCAGAATGTTTAGTGCTAAATCTCACTTTAACATTTGTTCAAAAATCTATTCAAACAACAGATCGATTCCAGATTATGTGCCATTATTTCTTTTCACCAGGAAGAACTGTCAAAACTGTTTGTTTACGGACATACAAACATGTGATATCGACAAAGGTCAATTTGTCATAGTATACAAATGAGATTAAATGTGATCTTCCGGTGCAGAATGATATGGCTCATTAGTCCGCAAAAGTGAAAATGTGTAGTTTCAGAAAATATCCATACCTCCCACGCGGAAGGGATTTTTTCTAACACCTCCCCACCCCTCTGGAAATTCCAGTTAATCTTCACACATTTCTTTAAATTTTTGGGTCATCCAGAACCTCCCACCCCCCAGGAAATTCCAATCCCTTCTGTGGGGGGAGTATGGATATTTTCTGGAACTGCACAATCAGCTTCGAGTTATCAAGGGTAAAATTACAAAGAAAAGTACCTGAAGGGAAGTAAAAATCTCTTCAAGTTAGTGGGGCTTTGATCTACTGGAGTTTCAAGTTATAAGGCTGGGTTAAAATTACAGTAAATATATGAGGCAAATCCAGCGGAAATCAGTTTTGCTTCAAGGTAGAAGGGAATTCAACTTACGGAGGGTTCGAGTTATCGGGGTTCAACTGTATTTTAATAGATGGCAAGGGGGCCTCCAGAAACCACAGGGCTTGGATGAGGGAGGCCTCCTTATTTTACGAGTTAAAAAAAAAATGAAAAAAAGATATGTATAAATTATGCAGACAATATGCACTAACCAATCTTAATAGTCATTAAATCTTCAATTTTGTAAAAAACTATGAAGATGTGTTTTAAAAGAAGCAAGAGTTTCAAAACGTCTAACATCATTGGGTAAGGAATTCCAAATTTTTTTGCCCTTAAAAAGAAATAAAGAAAAATATTGAAGATTGATTTGACATTGATGAGAGTGGTAATCAGTGCCTCCTCTGGTGTTAGACGAGTGCATGAAGTTATTAGTGAGAAAAAGATTGAGGAATGATGGCAGAAGTAACCACTACTGATTAGGGCTCAACACTAACTTTTCAACTTACTAGCCAAGTGGCTAGCGACATCTTAGATGTCACGACAATTTCAGTTTGTTTACTAGCCAAACTGGCTAGTGGAATTCGAAAACCACTAGCTAAAACTGAACTTCTACTGGGAAATCAGAAATGACTCTAGCTATGTAAAAAGGAATTAAATCTCAAAGATATCCAAGATCTTTAATTTACAAAATAATGGAGCAGTATGAGCGTTAAAGTAAAGGTGAGACATAATTTGCACAGCATGTTTTGGGAGCAGGAATCAGTCCAGATTTGTTACATAAATAGATCAGAAGACCAACTGAAGCTATGTTGCAGTAGCAAGTTGAAGTGCCTATGAAATAAAAAAAATAATTCCTGCTAATTTGAAAGGCTTTTCAAAGTAAAGAAGAACGGCATTTTCCTTTTAGGAATATCTTTTTTTGTTTTAGAGATATTCACGTTTTTGTATTATGCAAATGAGAAAAGTGATGACATCATAGATGGTTCCTCTAAAACAGCGCAACACTCAATCGAGAATAACTCTAGAAATATTAAAGCAGTGTTCTTCAAACTTG